ATTGCTCTGGAAATGGGCTGGGCCCAGTCTTTGGGGTAGATCAGCAGGCAGAGCTGCAGGGGAGCTGGGGCAGGCTGAGGCTGATCCTGTTTACTCCCTTGGTTTCAACTACTCTTATAGGCTGAAGACTCTCACACCTGTATTTTCAGCCTTGACCTTTCGTTCAAGATTCAGACCAGAGTTATACAATTTCCTGCTATTGTTCCAGTAGGTACTTTAAATTCAACATGTCCAAAATTGAATTTGTTTTAATGCCAAACCTGCTCTTCCTCCTGTATCAACTATCTCAATTAATGACACCACTATTCAACCAAGCATGCAACATCCTTGATTTCTGCTCCCTCCAGTACTACCTGACACATCCAGTGAATGTCTTAAATCTGCTCTGTCCTATCTCTAGTGTCTAGTTTAAGACCCCACCATCTCTTCACCTAATGAGATCTTTTAACTAGTCTCATCTTTCTGAAACTCAGTCCAGTGATAGGCTGGAGCTGGCTTACAATGGGCAGTGAGAGCTGGTTGTACACATCGCTTCCCAACTCTGGGTTCTATGATGTCATATTGGTAGCTTGAAATTGGCCACAATGGGAATACACCACAGAAATTGGCAAACACTACAAATCAAGATTTTTTTTTTTTATGGAGAGCTTCTTATTAAACATTTACCAGCACATTTAACTGCCCCAGTCTTGGGCCAAACTGATCTTTGTAAAACACTTGTTCAACTATGCCACTCTCCTTGATTAAAACTCTTCAGTTAGGGGCCCCTGGGTGTCTCAGTCGGTTAAGCATCCAACTCTTGGTTTCAGCTCAGGTCATGATCTCAGGGTTGTGAGATCGAGCCCCGTGTCAGGCTCCTAGCTGGGCATGGAGCCTGCTTAAGATTCTCTCTCTCTCTCTCTCCATTTGCCCCCTCTCCCCCTCCCTAAAAAAAAAACAAAAAAACAACTCTTCAGTAGCTCCCCATGGCCAACAGGTAACATTAAATTCCTTAACATAACATATGAGGCTTTTCATCATCTTGCCTCTGCCTAAATGTTCAGCTTCCTCTCCTACCCCTCCTTCATCTCATAAGTTATATGCTAGCTCAAAGGTCATAAACTGGTTCACTCAAGCCTAAATTGCCTCATATATGTATCTTGTTGGGACCGCACACTATCTTTAGCTTTTTTAGCCAACATTTAAAACTTTAAGAAATTCTACCCTGAAAGGGATTAAGAGGTACAAACTTTCGGTTAGAAAACAAAGCATGGGAATGTAATGAACAGTACAGGGAATACAGTCCATAATATCGTAATAACTTTCAATGGTGACAGATGGTAACTCTATTTATCATGGGGATAATTTTTATCATGTTTCAAAATATCAAATCCCTACGATGTACACCAGAAACTAATAGGTTATTGTCTGCCCATTATACTTCAAGTTAAAAAGAGGACGCTATTTGACAACAAAATAAGAAATTCTACAACAAAATCCATTATTTCTGACTTCTCTTAAGCACAACATTGGGCCCTTGTGCATGCTTATAACAACAATTTTATAACAACAAGGAGTGCAGCAGCAAATACCCCCTTTGAGAGAGCATGTGCTCTACAGTTCACTAGTTCCTATCATCCACTCATCCAGATTATGCATATGTACCCGCATGGAACCTTCATTTCTGTTACCTACTGTTATAGACCATATCACAAAGTCCTGAGTATTATCAGAAATCTCTCACCCTCATTATAGAATCTATCTTTACCATGGCTGTCCTGATGATAGCTCATGGTCCCTTCCCTAGAAAGGGAAAGGCAGCAGGATGAAAAAAGCAGCAGAGAAGGGAAGAGGAGTATAAGTCTGTGGTCTTTGTGTCAGAGTCTCCACTTTAAAACACCAAAATTGCAAAAATGGCAGGCAGGGACTGTCCTAGGTTGGGGGACCTCAGGATATTCCCTATAAAGCCCATTTGCTAACCCTCCTTAGTCTTGGAATGTCTACTACCTTCTCAGATGGACATGAGAAGGAAAGACCCAAGGAAATTATCTCTCATTGGCTCAGATTATGGGAGCCAGCCAGGTTTGTAAATGACTCAATTTCTTAATTTGAGAATAGAAAACTTTTTTTTTTCTTTTTGCCCAGTGCCTGTTGTGTGTCTAGCGTTGTACTAGATGCTAGAGGGAAAACAAAAGCAGTCTAAGACAGCTCTGTCTTAGACTCACAACCTTACTGATGAAGCAAGAAATGCATATGTGAAGTAATTAAAGAAAAATATAAGGGGGCAGCATTAGAAAAGTAAGATCTTGGATATAACCTAGTGCCCACAACATCTGGGTGGTCAGTAAGGGGTAGGATCAAGTTAAGAGGAGGAGCTATTGAAGAAGCCAGGCCTCACAATGGCCCTTCACTGGCAGAGAAATGGGGAGATCCCCCCACACACGGGGGATCCCACAAGACTATATACCCAGAGAGCAATGAGTGAGATGAGTGTGGCAACCTGTGAATAGTAAGGTTGACTGGAGAGTGGGAAGACATGGTTGGTCATTGTACACCAGTTTTCTTTTAAAAAGATTTCCTCTCTTGTGTCACATACTCAGAAAGTCAAATAGAGAATCAGAGGCTCCTTGTTGAGCACCACATTAAAGACAATGGAATCAGATGGCTCCAGAAAACATTTCACTTTCTTTTTTTTTTTTTTTTTTTTAAAGATTTTATTTATATATTTGACAGAGAGATAGTACAAGTAGGCAGAGAGGCAGGCAGAGGGAGAGGAGAAGCAGACTTCCCGCTGAGCAGGGAGCCCGACGTGGGGCTTGATCCCAGGACCCCGGGATCATGACCTGAGCCGAAGGCAGCCGCTTAACCGACTGAGCCACCCAGGCGCCCGAAAACATTTCACTTTCTAAGCATAGACAGCAACCTTTCAATGACACAAGTGGGGCTAAGCAATAGTCACATGTACCATTGTCTGTCTTGGACAGGCTTGTCAGCACTGGCATAGAGGGACAGAAAGAAGAAAGAGAAAGAAGAGTAAGAAAAGTAGAAAGAGCTAGGAAGTGGGGGGAGAGAGAGAACAGGAAGAGCACCATGGTAGGGAGGATGCATTCCCCCAATCTAACCCAGGGAATCATGTGCTACAGGCTATCCTCCCTCCACCCGCCACCTCCTGCCTCTGGGTCATAGCAGAGATTGAGAAATGCTTCTGTCCACTGGGAAGAGGCAGATTTCCAGATCTGAGCTCCTTTCTTCTGAGCAGACTGTGACATATTGCTCACTTACCATCTCCCCCAACTCAAGGCTTTATGTTGGTTGTTGTGTTTATGTATATTACTGGGCCCACTCAGACCTACTTCTTCCTTAGCCTGGAGGCTTATGTTAATTTCTGAGATTATTCTTTCCTGTGTCCAATTTACTTTATGAGCCAGTTGCTCACTTCCTGCTGTCTTGCTTGTAGCTGCTTCCTCTAAATGTTTAACAATGCCGTCTCGCCGCTCCATCCAAGTAATTGATGACCAATGTGCATCCAGTTCTCAACTATTCAGAGGCTGAAGCTACCACTCCATGAAAGAAACAGATTTCTTGCAAACTCCTCCCCCTCCTTCTCCTCCAACCCTCTCCCACTTCCTGTTTTCTGATCTCTTTCCTGTTTGTGAATCCTTCATCCAAGGTGAGAAGGAGGCAAAGATGATGAAAAACTGTAACACATCCTTTTGTCTGTTCATCAGGAACTGCAATGTTCTAAAAAACGTTTTTTAAGAGTAAAGAGAAACTATTAAGTAAAACATATTTGTCTATTCCGTGAGAATCTCAATTATCCATGTTTTGTTCTCCCCAATTCAAATGAGTATTTGGAAGTGTTTTCTTCGAAGTGTATTAAGATCATTTCACAATTTCCTGGAATCCTATCCATGTTTTCAGTACTCAGCTCCACCCCTCCATGAAGCCTCCTCTGACTATTCCAGTCCTCCTTATTCCTTAGCTCTAGATCCTACCACACTGAGACTCTTCTCTGGGTATAGAGCTGCCTCCATTTCCCTATTACACTGAGAATACACTGGGTCCCAAAACACACATTTTAAAGTCAAAAGATTTTTTTATTCATTGATCAGGTTCTGCAAACTCACCTAAAAATGCTCCTGAATGCCCAAAGAACCCCAGACCTTCCTCCAATAGCTGCTAGTTACACCAAGCATTACATCATAGACAGAATGATGTTATCAAAGGTTCCTTTTGCTATTGTTAACACTTCATCCAAGCCAAGAGGTCTTCATTTACAGAGCACTTCTTTCTGACAATAATAGATTCTCTCTACCTTGCTGGGACCTGCAAGAAGTTGGAGGAACACTATCTGGCCTTGGTCTTTGGTCCCCTAATGTCCTATATACATACAAAGTCAATGGAACCACTTAAGATTGTCTTTTCTTCAGCATCTGGGGCTTGATTTAGTGGTATGGTCTTTAAAATTACTGGTTGTCTTTAGCCTTTCAAACAAATATTCCTGCAGTCTCTACTCATTTGGAACTGAACACGTGCTACTATGTACTCCTACTTACCAATTTTATGTAGGTCTGATCTACCCAACTAAGCTCCAGAAGGTTAGGGAAAATGCCCCTTACTTCTCTAGAACCCCCATCATGCCTCAGACAGAATTGGGCATACTGTGGTTGCATAATTTTCAGAACCAAGCTCTAGCTTCCTACTGCCTGGGTTTGAATCTTGGCTCAGTTACTAAAAACTATGTAACTTTGGGTATGTTCTTTAACTTCTGTGTGCCTCAGCTTCTTCATTTGGGGAGAATATTTACCTCACAAGGTCATGGGGATTAAATGAGTAAATACACGTAAAGTGCTGTGTGCCTGGCATATGGCCAGTATTCCACAAATAGCTATGGTAATAAGGGGAATTGACAAGAGAACAGTGACTCCAATTCCCAAATCACTAACATTGGATGGGCCCTATGCTCCCTCTCTCTCCCAGCCTTAATCATGCCCTTTATGATTTTATTTTATTATACCTAGGTCCCCACCCTCATGATGGATACCCAGTTCTCTGAGTTCACACCAGACATCACTCCCATCATGCTGGCCGCCCACACCAACAACTACGAGATCATCAAATTGCTTGTCCAAAAACGAGTCACTATCCCACGGCCCCACCAGATCCGCTGCAACTGCGTGGAGTGTGTGTCCAGTTCAGAGGTGGACAGCCTGCGCCACTCCCGCTCCCGGCTGAACATCTATAAAGCTCTAGCAAGCCCCTCGCTCATTGCCTTGTCAAGCGAGGACCCCATCCTAACTGCCTTCCGTCTGGGCTGGGAGCTCAAGGAGCTCAGCAAGGTGGAGAATGAGTTCAAGGCCGAGTATGAGGAGCTCTCCCAGCAATGCAAGCTCTTTGCCAAAGACCTGTTGGACCAAGCTCGGAGCTCCCGGGAATTGGAAATCATCCTCAACCATCGAGATGACCACAGTGAAGAGCTTGACCCTCAGAAGTACCATGACCTGGCCAAGCTGAAGGTGGCAATCAAATACCACCAGAAAGAGGTAAGCTGAGCTTTTCTCTGCTTTCAGGAAAGCTTAAGCCATCCACAGTCCAGTGCAGCAGAATGAGAGTCGACATTTTTTCTACCATTTAGTCCTCTCACAATTGAATGGTTCAACAGGCCTCAAAAAAAGTGAGGCTCATTTTCCAAGGTACATACAGCCTCCACATATTTTCTTTATAGACAGAGAAGTAGGGAAAAATACTGACCATCTGATTTGTTGATGGGAAAGTACTCATTCTTTCAAAACATGCTTATTCAGCACTGTTCTAGGTGTTTGGAATACAAAAAACAGGCATTGACGCTGCCTTCATGAAGCTTACAACCTAGCTGTGGACGTTACGTAAATGATCACATTAGTGAATATGTAATTACAAGCAACGTAAGTGATCTGAAGAACTTCTATGAGAACACATAACAAATGACCCCACCCTACATACTGGGGCCATGGTGGTCAGTAATCATGGAGGGCTCACGGTGTGGATGCTTTTGGAAATGAATTATTATTGTTTTTTAATTTATTTTTTATTAACATAATGTATTATTTGTTTCAGGGGTACAGGTCTGTGATTCTTCAGTCTTACACAATGAATTTGTTACTAGCATCTTTGATTAAAGGAATCTAAAACACTAAGGTCATGTTTCATAACTGTGGCTCCCTAGTCCACTTTACATGAATACTTATGTTAAACTCAAAAATCCCTCTTGAGATGCTTTCAGCATTTTACTAAGGTTTTTAAAATGAAATTGTGACAAGGGGTAGAGAATTCAGTGGTTTTCCTTACCTTGCTAAAATGCAGTTCCATCCTTCAGAGGTATAATGGAGATCACCTCCAAAGATTCTTTATTACCCTGAAGAGATGTGACATGTAAGACTGATGGATAGTTGTATCTGTCAATACAAATAACTCCCAAATAACTAAAGGAACTAGAGGTTATTTTTTCTTTTTTTATGTTTTTGTTGTTTGGTTTGGTTGGCTGACTGGCTTGCGAGCTAAGGGTTATATAGGCAGATGAAAAACAAGTTTTAAATATGGACTGGAGGAATAGGGTCCTTGATAAAATAAGTATATACCCAATACAATGGCTCAATACCTCTAGTCTATTGAAATAAGTCTATCAACAGCAATGTCCACAATAGCCAAACTGTGGAAAGAGCCAAGATGTCCATCGACAGATGAATGGATAAAGAAGATGTGGTATATATATACAATGGAATA